AAGTCACTCATTCGTGGCGCTGAGGGGGGGGGAGTGGAAGGAACAGCCCTTTAGGGGGGGGGGGGGGGGGCGGCGTGGAAGTGAGTTGTGTTGAGTTTGAAAGTGTACCATAATGTCAAGTCACCCAGGACTAAGGCCAGCACAAATGGTCTGCTAGCATGGACTTGCTGGAAAAATTTATTCTTCCTGTTCAAGCGGTTAACTGGGTGGAAGGTTCCGCTGAAGTTTTGTTAGAACCTGGAGTTCTGAGCAGTTGGAGGGCCCTTAGGATCTCAAAACTGAAAGATGCCATTCACGGCAAGGTGAAAGCTTTCAACATATTTGCAGAGAAGAATAAAGATGCCAGTTGGGATGCGTTCAGCGGGAGCAATTTCGAGAATGGCGCGGTAGGTCTGTTGCAATTTTTCTTTGAATTGCAGATTAATGTGTTCATTGCTTAGGAGGTGATCGTGAATTTTGGTGGCGGCTTCAAACGTGGAATTGTGTCAAATGCTGCAGAAAACATAAGTGAGGTGTGTGAAGCTTGATTTCGTATGCGCTTGAAAGCCCAAAGCGTGAGGAGGGAATTGCCTTGAACCATCCAATGCTCAACTAACTAACTCAAAAGTCATTATTTCTGTCGATCCCTCTACATTATCTGCATTGTTCGAGGTAAGCATGTTATTTCATTGAAGAGTGATGAAGTTGAATTTTCAGGTTTATCTGGTTGATGTGGGAATCACAGTTCGGGTTGTCAGTTCTGATATCCAACTGCGGCACTACGTTGTAGAACAAGAAAATTGGGAACCGACTGCATGGAGTGTAAAGCAGAAGACTGAAACTAAGCTGCGTTTGCTCCCGGCAAGCAATGTTTCCCCTGATGATGCTTTCCTGAGCATGTGCAGTCTGAAACCATTTTGCCTGTCGGGAGAGGCAATTGACGTTGATCCGATAGTCAGACGTGCTGCTTTGTTCGGTTGTGAAAGCGTGTAAGTGGCAAGGAAATATTCTTCGGACAAGCGGCGTATGAATGTTTCCCATCTTTTTTGAACAGTCCTCTTGTGGTGATAGATGTTCTCAATGAGTAATTTAGTATTATAATTCAGAATGGCTTTTGTGCCAAGCCCATCGACTGCATTCAATAGTCGTAGCTCATCGGAGTGCTTCAATTTGTTCCGTGTTCATTCAGATTGGCGAGTCATTCAAAAGGTGTGGAGAAGTTATTTGGGTCCATCACAAAATGGATGGTGACTCTCGTATCTAAAGGAATCCATAATGAAGCACCTACTGTTTGTTTGTTTGGTCTAATGGCTAAGCAAAGTAACCTTTTCTTTGCCGACTCTGACGAAGAGAACACTCTGAAGAAATTCTTGCTGATGGAAGGAGGTTCAACAACAGGTGAAAATGATGACTTGGTGCTTTGCGTATGCATCAATGGACTACTCATACGCTCAGGCGCAGTGGCCTATTCAAAAGATCGAATCTGGACAAAAGGTACCTTGGACCATCCAGTTTCCGTGGGGTTCTAATGAAATGTTTACTGCTTCTTATTTTTTTCTCTCTCAATGGTAGAGGATTTCTTCTCCCCTGAAATTTGCGACATTGTCTTAGAAGGTGGATATCCAGAGCGTTTGTTGAAATCCTTCTGGATGCCTAAAGTCACGAAGGCCAGAGTTTTCTCCCGTGGATCCGATTTTTTGTGGGATTCCCTTCCACCTTATAATCCTTTTCGCCCTGTGGAATCATGTTCTGCATTGCAGGTACTTGGAATATCTATGAGTCTGTCTTGATGAATGTGTTCACTGAGTATTATGTGTTCCTCAGGTTGCATTGGAAAAACTTTACTTATCGTCGCTTGTATGAATCGTGTGGAAATGACTGGATTGCCTAATGTTGTTGACTCCCATCAGGTCATTTGTGGAGTATTGTGATTGGCTGAGGAAGTTCAGCGGTGTGTTGGCCTGTCTCAGGGCTACTGCGGTTATCATATTTTGTGGAACACTCAAGTTCTCTCGTGAATCGTTAGATTTTTTTCTGCGCAAGAAGTTTAAATTTCATCGTGATTGTTCTAATTTTTCAGGCTTGAAATATTGGTCGAAATCAGGCCAACCTGTGAAAAATGGTTGCTATGTTATGTTTTGATGTCAGTCGCAACTTCGAAGTTTAAAGCCACGTTAATGGTCGAAGAGTTCTCCAATAACGTCGCGTTCAAGTTCTTAAATTACGATGGAACTCAGTCATAGTTTGACACTGAATGAACATGCTTTGGCTAAGCTACCTGATCCACAAAAGCCGGTTTTTGTTGTTGAATGGTTGACGTATCTGAGCAAAGTTCTCGTCGCTGCTCAGAAGGTGAGCATTCTTGAAGACGGATATCTTGGAGGTACTAATGAGCGTGATGTTGCAGTCGGATATCAAAGAATGCCAGGAGCTGTTGTACTCTCAGTTGATGAAACAAATTCACGAATGTCCTGGTCCACCAATGAGAAAGCTGATCGCTCGATGCTTGGCAACGCTTTTCACTGTGGGTGATACGTACAAATTATTCGAATGCATCAATAAGTTGAATGACGTTCTCCGATCGAAGGATGATTCACCCAGCTTCCTTCCAACAAAATTGTGAGTGGTTGTGTTCATTGAAACTGAAGTGTGATTCTGTTATCTACGTGTAACTTGCTGATCTTCAGGGCAGCTGGGGCCTGCTTAGGGATGATGTTTGAAAAACTTGGACGTCTTATGGGCCGGTCGTATGAAGAAACTGTTCAGATCCTTGTACGATGTCTGAAGAATGCCGAGTCATTGTATCGTATCACAATCATGTCGACTTTGGAAAAGTTGTGCATCGGTATGGGCAGTGCTGCTGGGCCTTTCCAGAAGGACATATACAAAGCAGCGAAAAGTTGCCTGACCGATCGGTCAATGCCAGTTAGACGTGCAGCCGCTAAGGTACTTATCTTGTTACTGTATATTATTTTTTTTTGCTTTGCCTGTTTACCGTAATTACCGTAAGTAACTGAAGGCATGAGATGGCATCTTGCAGAAGCGCTGTTCTTCCCGGAAAATGTTCGAGTCCCGCTATTCTTTTCCGAACAAGTCGTAGAAGCTACGTTCAATTATTTCAGAACACCAGGTGAAGGTGGTGTAATGTTGTATGTTATATCTTTTCTACAGTGCCTGATCCAAATGATTCCTCACGCTCCATTCCTGCACACAACGGAGCTGGAGAGCACATGTTCTCTGTGTTTTCGCGCTATGGATGGTTCTAATTACCAGGTTCGATGCGCCTTGGCGTCACTGGTAGGATCTCTGTTGGCTGTGACACAACAACCACCAAAATTGCCTAACCATATGCCCACGAAAGCCGAGAAACCAAAGATGTGCACATTAAACGAAGCTATGAATATACTAGCGAATGGTTTTCAGCGTACAAACGTCAGTAGCGTTGGTGTGATTAAACCGGGAAATTCGTCGCTCCCGTCGCGAGAAGTGCGTGTGGGTGTTTCTCATGCCTACGTTTCCTTTGTCAATGCCTTGGGTACCCCTTGGCTTGAACGAAATCTTGCAATATTCTTGAACCACGTGTTTGAGCTCGTGTGCTGCGGGAAGAGCCTTGGATCAACTCATGTTGAAGCTGTGTACGCGAGGAAATGTGTCGGTTTCATCTTGCATTCCACGATTGGAAAAATGTTGGGAGAAAAGGCTCAGCGTGGAGCCTGCAAGGAACTGATTTTGGTGATGAAGAAGCACATGCAAAGTGTGTCCAAGGAAAAAGATGAGGCTGCGAGTGGCATCACAAATCCGCATGTCCAAGTGTGCGCATTGCTTGAACTGGGCACCTTGATAGCAAGTTTAGGAACATGTGCAAACACCTTGCTGTCAGATGCAAGCTTAGATTTGTTGGAGTTGATCAACACGCTGATAATCAGTACAACTCCTGCTGCTGCTGTGCGTTATGCGAGCGCGTGGTGCCTGTGCTGCATTGGGAAAGCAGTCCCTTCACAGTTGATAATTTTGATAGATTCTTGCGTGGAGAAACTCGAAAAGGTTGGATCAAGTTCTCCCGAGGCCGTGTCAGGATTTGCCTGTGGAATTTCTGCGTTAGTCTCTGCCTCCCAGAGTACGCCTCTCGGAATACCGCATACTCGAGGGAAACTCCTTTTCAATGTTGCGGAAGAACTTCTGCGCAGTGCAAACCAGAATCCACGCTTGTCATTGCCAAGGACGCATGGAGGTTGGCTGTTGATAGGGTCGATCATGACACTCGGGTTACCGGTGGTGAAGAGTCTTCTACCTAGGATGATGCTTCTATGGCGAAATTCTTTCCCGCGATCTGTGAAGGAGTTGGATTCGGAGAAGGCTCGTGGTGATGCGTTTACATGGCAAGTGACGCTGGAAGGTCGATCAGGAGCGTTATCGGCGATGCATTCATTTGTTCTTCATTGTCCGCAACTTGCTGCTGAGGCTGACACCACACGTCGGATTCTTGTGCCTATCGAAAGCGCCTTGGGGATGCTAACAAAGTGAGACGTGATTTTTTTTCGCCGCAACACCATTTTGTAAAGGTAGTCTTTAAAAATGCGTTGAAAAAATCAACGGAACAAGAATCCTGAAGAGGGACTTGCATTGGAGATTTATTCAGTCATACCTATTCAGATGTGCAAAAGGTTCAATCTTGGAAATGCTGTATTCTTTTAAAAGTATTGTACATCTACTGTGACAAAAAAATAGATGAATAGGGTCGTTCCAATTGAAATTTTGTCTTTCTCATGCTCTTACGGAGTGAAGCAATGGACGATCATTTTTGAATAGGGCTTAGGTATATTGGAGAGCTTAGTTTAATTTTCAATTCCTGCCTGTATGGTTTAAAACGGCTGTGATGCAGCTTTTTTCACATTGGACATTTTCACTGTTCATTACTCATATCTTAAAATTTTATTTGTTTTTCACGTGACTCCGTGCTTTTTTCTCCCGTGTTATGGGATTTGTTTGTGTGTGTGTGTGTGTGAGCATTCCCTGATTCCTCTTGCCTGATGTTTTATCAGCATTCAAAATGTAGTCAAGTCGTACAGTCAGCACCTAAAAGCCTCAGCTGCGATGGTGCGGCTTCGACTGAATCAGGTGCTGTCTCTGCTACCGCCGCGTTGTTTTGAGGCATCCTTCACTCATTTACTCCGGTTGCTGGTATCGGAATTCACATTGAGCGAAAATCCTGCGAACACCACAACGTCTTTACTCCGTCCCTTATGTCACGCGACGAATCCCATTATCCTGGGCTCCTGGCTGCAAGATATGGATCATCGGCACGTGGAGGATCAGGTAAACTTCCGTCTTCTCGCTTACTTGAATATCTTCATAACGAGTGTACGGTTTTCTGTTCTTCCTTTGAATGTTCGCTGCTGGGCTTTTGAGAAAGATGGAGCCTAATAGGAAAAGGGATATAGAACACGTGAGTTTCAGTAGATTGGGAGTTTCCATGTTTTGCTGCATATTTTGAGTATTCTCAAAGTGTGAACTTTCGTTGAACCGTATTTTTGTAAAAAAAAATAAAATAAAAAAATAAAAATAAATAAAAAAAAGAGCGATATTGGTCTGTTTTCCCTGGTGCGTATTGCTGAGGACTATTGTAGGTAGTATTGGTCGGTCTGGGGTTAGTGGGGAATATTTCTTCATTTTATTTCACGATTGTTGACGATATACAACCATGTGATGTTAATAGCGTTGTGGCCTGCGCGGAAAAAGAGGGTTGGTTCGGTAGCTAGGAGCCTCCTTGTTGTTGTATTACAGTACAGTATTCTGGAGTGATGTTTAACCCTTGGAATCTTTTTTTCTCAGCTCCAGTCAAATAGTGCCTCTGGATCAAGTGCAATAGAACACGATCCATCCTGTTTATTCATGCCCTTACCGGACGGAGAAAGCACGCCTGGAGCTTTGCCTCTCGGAGTTAGTGTCGTGGATTCTGCCGTTGAATTATTCGGGCATGTTTTCCCGCATTGCTCCCCGAAACACAAGGGCCAGCTCATGGATCACTTTTTGGAGTGCTTGAAGCAAGCGAAAGCGCAGCGTCAAGAAGCAATAACGATAAACATCTTCGCTGGTTTATTGCTTGCGCTGAAGAACCTCGCGGATAGTAAAACCCCGTTGCCGAATGAGGATGTTTGCAAAGGCATCGTTGCACTGATCAGAAATACTTTGACGCACGGCAATACTCTGATCCGATGTGCTGCCGGAGAGGCCTTAGGTAGACTTGCTCAAGTGATTGGAGATGCGAAGTTCGTTGCGGAGATGGCACAAGAAAGTTTTGAGAAGCTGCGATGTGCGAGGGACGTGGCGTCTCGCACGGGTCACTCGTTGGCGTTGGGTGCATTACATCATTATGTTGGAGGAATGGGATCAAGTCAGCATCTTAATACGAGTGTCAGCATTCTGCTCGCTTTGGCGAATGATATCACTTCCCCCGTGGTCCAGGTGTGTTCCCTTTGAATACATCATTTATAATTTTACGATATTGGTGAAATGTTTTTCGAGCCAAAGGTTCAGATGAGTGTGTGGCAACCTTTGTGCAACTTTTAGCCCCGAAAATATTCAGGTATCGGCAGTGGAATAGGTTGGTGTCGAAAAGTGTAATTAAGCTTATCTTGTCCATAGTAATGCTGCGTAAAATGTGTCAGAAGTCAAAGTTTTGTACCCTCGGACCTACGTGAACCAAAGATTGAAGAGCTACGGTGTGCAGTGTAAGTCTTGGTGTGATCCAAGGAATCGGTTTCAAGTTTAAAAAAAAATTTTGCTTTTTTCATGATGATCGAAATATATTGTGCATCTCTCTCTTTTGCGCAGGTGTGGGCGTTACATGCGTTGTCGTTGATTGCTGATTCTGGCGGTCCGATGTTCCGTGGATTTGTTGAGCCGACTCTTTCTTCTTGCCTGAAGTTACTTCTTAGTGTTTCTCCCGCTCATGTTGATGTTCACCATTGCATCGGGAAGGTACTCTCCGGCTTGATCACCACTATTGGGCCAGAGCTGCAAGGTGCATTTACTTTTGGTACTATTTTAATTCTCGTTTTTGTCTGAGCCACATTAATGTAGTTTGCTCAATGAATTCGTCGCGAATTCAAGGATGTAAAGAGAAATCAGATTTTCGGGGAAAGTTGTTCTCGAATGCTGTGATCATCCATGATGATGTAAACAAATGTGATGCAGCATGCAAAGAATCCTCTTAAATATTTAATGAATCTAATAATCGGTTTGCCGAATGAAACTTCGCTTGTTTGATGAATCAAGTTTCAATCTTGGCGCAGTCGTGAAGAAAAAAGTCTTGTCAGTGATATCGTTGTTAAATCAAATTTTTTTTTTAGGAGATACAAGTTCTCTGAATGCAGTTCGATGGTCGTTTCTATGTGCTTGTGCGGTTATGCAAGAAAGTGAAGATGCATTGGTTGAAGCCGAAGCCACCAGCTGCCTCCAGCAATTACATATGTTCGCTCCTCGTTATGTTAATTTGACCTCTTTGGTGCCGAGTCTTTGTGTAAGAAGTTCCTGCGTCTTGGTGCTGTTCACTGTGAAACCAATCGTGTTCTCTGTTTTTAGTGGAACTTGACGAGTAAACACCTGCTGTTGCGAAAAGCTGCCGTATCATGTTTGCGACAGCTTGCTCAGCGCGAAGCAAAGGAAGTTTGCGCGTATGCCGCGGTACTGAGTAATCAAGATCGGGAGAACAGCGAAGGTATTTTTGTTTGTTAGCATTATTACCACGTTTTTATGAACTCACTTTCTTGTCTGTTTGTTTGTCCAGATCAAATTTTGCAACTCAAATTTCGCTCACTTCCAGACTAGCTAGCAAGCTGAAACTTTCAGGATAGCTTAGAAACTGATGACAATGCAATTTTTTGTGAAAAGAATAATTATAAGAATATT